CAATTGACGCGAAGCCGCGCGTTCGGGAAACGGCTCCGTCCGGCAGCAGGGGTGAGCCAGCTCTTCCCCAAGTCGGGAGGAGCGGGGACCCCGGCCCGGGGGGGCCGGTGCGCACGCCGGTCGAGGGGGCGGCTGCGCTCCCGCTCCTGCCGACGCTCAGCCGAGCCTGTTTTCTGTAACGAGCACCCATTTCAGAGCGGAGCGGAGTTCGCTCCCACCCCCGGCAGCCCCCCGGGGGACGGGGCCGCCCGGGGTCCCCGGCCCAACCCCCCCCGGGCTGCAGCGGGGGAGCAGGGCTCTCGCCTTCGCTCCCTGGGCGTGCGAGGAAAGCCAGTATTCCGCAGGACGGAAAGTTGCTGCTGTATTTGCTTTCAGCGGGGAATGGGGAGGGACTAACACCCGCTTGAATCTCGGTTTTTTGTTTTGGGGTTTTTTTAACTGCTCTTCATCGCAATAGACTGGAAAGGAGCGTCACAACCGAAAAGGTGGCGGTGACAGAACTCCTTCCTACTTTGGGCTCACTCTATGTGCGCCGAACTCCACTTTCCGTATCGAAACTGAACTCTTTCGGATGGATTTCCTGCCTCAGGAACCAACCTGGTGACATCACCCATTCATTCATCAGCCTGGGAGAGGCACAGCTCCGTGCTCTCTGCCTCAGCCTTCGCATGGGAGCCTGTACCAGGCACACGCCAGGCGAATCGCCGCTTTTGCAACATCTGGAGCACAAAACCCCCTCTTTTCCTTCCCTGCGGCTTTGCTGGGAAGGAGGCAGCGGGGCTGGGCAGGTCGCACCTGATCCTTGCGGCCGCCAAGTCCCAGAAGAGAGGGAACACTGTTTGCCAAGGGTCCCTCTCAAGCCCTTGCAGGTGGAAAACAGAGAGCCCCAAGACAACCGCCACGCTCTTCCCTGCTCCCAAGCACGGGAAGACTTGAGGGAGTACGGCCGCTGGAAGAAGGCTGCAGCAGTCTTCGACGCTCGCTCAGGCCCTGCTCCCTCGGTACGAAGTGACGGGGTCACGGGGACGCGTCCCACCTTCCCCCTCCTTGCCCAGAGTTTGAGCCAGTGCCCTGAAGTACCACAGCACCTCACAGCACGTACGGGATGCACAACGGCTGCTGGCCGGTGTGCGGCTCCGTGGAACGCCACGTTCCCCGCACCCCCGTTATTCCCACACCCCCGTGACTATGGGAGCTACGCTAGAAGCGTGGGTACGTTCATTCGCAGGGCCGGTCAGCGGTGGGGGGGGGTTAAGGATCCCTTTAAAGCCCAGGGACTGGAGTGCAGTGGGTGGACGGCGTGAACGCAGAAACGCTCAAGTTAACTTCACCAACTATTAATAGTGCCGTGTTTGCTATCAAGGACAGCGCAAGGCCGCGTGTCACCACTGACATCACGGATATAAAAGACTGCATCGGGGGGGATGTAATGGCCTGAGCTGAACCCTGCCCCAGCGACGGGAGAGAGACCGAAGTGAGACGAAACCCCGTGCCTCTGCAGAGGCAAGAGTGCAATGGTCCCCAAGAGGCTTACGCGAAAGGTAACGGGATTTTGTGCCCCCACGCAGGGCGGGGAATGACACGTAGCCACGAATACGGAACCGGCTCGACGACAAAGCTTCAGCTCAAGCTTTCTGATGGTTGCCGTGACAAAAGAGGCAGACTGCAATATTCCTTTATCACAGAGGGGACTTAATTTAAAGTCAACTGGTCAAATCCAACCCTCTCACATTCCCTATCTCTCTTCCCGCCCCCCTCCCCGCCCTGTCTTTTATGCAAGAAAGCATCTCCTACTTTAAGATGTTAAGGGCTCCCTATTCAAACTTCTTCCACCAGAAACACTGTTTCACTTGCAAAACTGATTTGGGGCTTATTATCTACAAGGGAAAATGAAGAACTCGTTCTGAACGAAATGCTCCAATAATGATAACACCTAGCCTGAAGATGGGTTCAGAAAGTTAGCCTGACATTTTGCCCTGCATCCCCCCAAGAAATGCAGTGAAATGCAACAGCAGACTGCCTGCAACAGTGATTTACAAAAGGCCCTAATTACGTCAGCAGCACAAGGCACCTTCTATTCAAAATTAAGGTTAAGAATGCTAAGCCAACCAGAGCACTATATTGGCTGAACATTCAGTGCTTTACAGTGCAAAGGAGCAGATAACAGACTGCACCATTGTTCTGGGAAGAATTCTTCCCCCAAGCTTTTTTTTTTTTTCCTTTTTTTGAAAGACAGAAAGACTTAAAAATTAAAAATTTAAAAGAACATTAATATTCATCACTTCAGTGGTTTCATATAATGGGTTGTGTATCTTGAGTACCCTCATGGCTGTTTCATCTTCCAGCCTTAGTTCCTCAACCTCACTGCAGTATTTTGTGTGCATCACGTAATGCAAACATTATTAGGAATGAGCACAAAAAAACCCCAACCCAGTTGTGTCACAGTCACATTACTTCCTTCTCCACTTTCTATTTGTGCTTTTTTATTTTCCTTTTTCTGCAAAAGAAAACCTACGACTGTATATAATTATCATAAAAATTCACGCTTTTAAATGACGTTATGCTGAAAATCTTCAGCATCAAACAGATCCAAATTTACATTCTACAGACGGAAATGCATCATGGTGTAATTTGTATCAGTGCAAACCAACCTTTGTTATCCTGGATTATGATTCCAAACTAAGTATAAGGAGAGAGTACCCATTTTGAGAAGGCCCTCTGACTGAAATCTAATAGATAAAAGGTTTCAGTACACTAGTTCTTCAAGAGATTCACTTTATAAGGGACGAAGATCAGAGACATCACAGAAAGCCATTAAAATACACTGAAGAGTCATTACCAAGAGCTGCACAGACTGAAAATCAGTCTAGCAAGTTTTGACTTTCATCCCCCCATTTCACTCATCAAGATTGTTCAGACATGAGAACTGTACCATCAGTGAGGTAAACAGAAAGAAAATTGAATTGAAATGCATGTACCTTGTGCAAGCAGAAGGAGCAATTTATTGCAGAGGGCACCTATGTACCACGCAGGTAACTTGCTGTTTTCACTGGAACCCTGTTTTGATGAGAGCATTTTTCTGAAAGCTTTCTATACTCAAAGCTCATGGGCTCACAAGAGCAGAGTCAGAGTCACTGGAGGAACGGGGATGCTTTCAGCTAGGATCAGTCAACCCAAAGCTGCTGAAGACTCAAGCTCTGCATGCAGGTTACCCTGGAACTGCTATTTGCCTAGTTGAAAAGGTAACCAAAAAAGGAAGGCTTTGCTTCCTAAAGTTGCAAACCTTTGATAAAGAAAAGCCTCTAAGCACGCTCTGTGCACACCTGACAGGCAAGCAACTCGGTCAACCACATCTACACACTGGAGCACCAGCCAGTCCCCCCTTACTTGCCCAGCAGCATTATAAGACACAGGAATTTCAAGTGCTGCAATGAAATAAATATATAGGTCAACCCTATGGCTCTTTTTGCCTCCTCTGTTGCACAGCTCATGCAGGAAAAAAGCCCTTCAAACAGCAGCAGTAACAGCAATACATTGCAGATAGGATCACTTATATACAAGGCATCAGACAGTACTTTCTCATAAAAGAAAACCAACTCTCAGTTATTTGATCATTGCTTTTTTCCCTA